GGGCCTGGGCGTCTGCGTCTGCACAGAGCGGGCGCTCTGCTGGCGGGCCGGCTGGGTGGGTCCCTGGAGAGCAAAGGCCGCTTGCCGGCCCGAGTCGGTGCTGACGGGGCGGCTCTCTCCCCCCGCAGCTGTTCGACGAGGAGAACCCCGTGCACAAGTCGGGGAGCAGGTACCTGTTCACCACCGAGGGCCACGTCATGTCCGTGGACGCGCGCCTCCGGGACTCGCCCTGGAAGGAGAGCTTCTCGGAGGAGGGCGGGCGGGGCCGGCCCGGCCGGACGGCACCCAGGCCCAGAGCCCAGGAGCTGGGCCTCATCAACTCCAGCTCCAACGTAAGGGCCTGGCGCTGCGCCCCTGCTGGAGACGCCTGTGGCTGTCGGGCGGGCCGGGCGGGCCGGGTGGCGGGTGTCTCTGGGCAGCCCCACCGCCCCGCACCCCCGCGCTCCCGGGGAGGGCCGGGAAGGGCCGTCAGCTCCCGGGGGCGTGGCTGGGCCTGTCGGGCCTGTCAGCCGGGTCCTGGGGTCAGTCGCCTGGGGGCAGCAGGTCACAGTGAGTGTATGCGGGAACCTGGCAGATAACTGTAGGGTCTGGATGGGGCCTCTCCTTTGAGGGGGAGACACACCTCTACTGAGAAAAGGGAGAGGCTGAGAGAAAGCAGCGCCCCGCCCGGAGGGCCAGGCCCAGCTAGAGCCCGGGGGCCAGAGCTGCCCGGGGGCCAGAGCTGCCCGGCTCACCTGGGCTGTTTGGCGCAGCTTTGGCGGCGAGGGCGGCTGCCTCCCTGGCCTGCCGCGGGGCCCGGGCAGTGTGGCCGTCCCTGGAGGCGGGAGGGCGCCCCTGGGGCCGGCGGCCGGGGGCGGGTTGGTCCCCACAGCTGACGGCCGCCCCCCCCGCAGTGCAGCCGCGTGCCGGCCGAGCGGAGGTTCTCGCTGCCGCTGAAGAGCGTCTACATGCGCCAGATCGACCGCATGGTCGGCTTGACCTGACCGGCCCGCCCCGCCCGCCAGGTGCGGCCTGCAGCCCGCTGGGGGACCACGTCGTCGGGCGCCGGCAGGTGGCTCTGCCCGGCCGCCCGCCCGCGCAGTAAATCCTTGCACACGTGAGCGCTTCTCCTCCCTTCCGTGAAACGCCCTGTTCTTCACGGTGACACTGGAGGTGAGAAGGCGCCGGGGACCGGCGCGCACAAGCTGGCGTCACCGGTCGC